CAATTTAAGAATCCGATGAGTTATCTCAACGAAATTCGTATTACTTTGTCCCAAGAGCATCGCTGCCGGTCGAAGATCATTTGACCACTTGTGCTTTTTAGGCAACAAGTGATCTCTCACATATCGGTAAAAATTTCCGTCTGATGCTTCAATTAATGGAAGATAACTATGGAAACTACAAAATACTGTAATGCATATTTTAATTTACCTTTCGACATTTCTAGTGAACATTAGACGGAAGAAAATTTGTATAGTTTCTGCTCGTAGCCTCTATAATGACGATTAATGGCTTAATGTTAAGCAACGAAAAGCTTACCCTCCTTACCACATTACGAATTAGGTGTACGCGACACAAAATGTGATGGGAATTGGAATACACCTGCATAATGGCAGCAGCTATTGCAGGTGAGTCATCTGTCACAATGCCTACCACCTCTCGATTGTTAGTTGATCGGCGGAAGAACGACAGGAATTGAGCAAGTAAACTAGATGTTTCGCAACTTATGAATGCAATACAAACAGGTATTGCCATGAAATTCATATCAAGTGCTACAACCTGATACAAATATAAATTTTCCTTATTGGTTTTGTAGGTCCCATCAAAACCAACAACATCAAAAAATCGACTTGATAAACTCATTTGATCTGCTGTTGTGAAGAAGAAATACAACAGACAGTTATCTCCATCTAAATCGTATTCACAGAGGCCACCAAGCGACATGATGTGATCTTTCAATTGGGAGTAATCACCTAACGTTTACAATTTAAATAGGTACATTGCTTACCAGGAAGGTTGGCTTGTGAGAACACTTTGTGGCGCATATTAAAAACATTTTCAGCATTAATGCGCTTTCTATAAGATTGGTAAACAAAGTGCATAATATTGAATGCTGCTGTCCCAGATATCGAAAGTGGTCTCACTGTTTCGAATTCCACCTCCGTTAACCTGCGCATCCAATAATTACTTTGGTACCTTAGGGAATTGCACTTGTGATTGTGGTACACATTCCCACGAACAACAGTCCAGTAACCTTCAATGAACTTACAAAAGATGAAGGAAGGACATTGAGTGCTCACAGTAGTCCTTAATGAAAAATTATAATAACACTAATCAAATTACCTCGTTCGTCTACTCGGCTGTGAGGAACCGCTAGATGTTCTACGGCCATTTCTCCAACATACGAATTTAATATAGGACTTCCGATCTCTATGGAAATGAGAATCCCTCACCACATAATGGCAGTACTTGGCTCTTTCATACGTTCTAATGGCGCTCTTCAACGCTTCAAGAGATTTGAATGCTACGAGATACAACGTGTTCAAGAATAGGTTATCGGTTTCTGTGACAACGTGAGGAACGACAGAGTTCGTGCTTTGCATGTTACTACCGTCCATAATTGTAAGAAAATGTGCTCTGCCATTAAATCCTCATATTTTATATCGATTTGAAGAAATAAACGACCAATTATAACGAACTCAAAACTAGCTATTTCATTGAACGAAACAGAATGAAAATTATTGAAAGATGGGAATGAAGAAAAATTCCGCTCAAAAAATACAAAAATGGCTGTGGCATAATGTTAACCTACTACTTGGATTAAGTTTACAAAATAACTTTTATTGTGTTGTTTGTTTTGATGATAAATAATCACGTAAAAGACAGTTCAAAGTGTTTTTTTAAATACTGAGAACTTGATAGTATGGCTGCTTTTTCAGTTATTTCTTTTTTTTTTTGATTGTTTGCAACATTGCAGGTTACCACATTAGTTGTACTTACTTTACTTTTTTACACCTGTTACTCCTCGTGGAGGAGCATGGGCCGCTCACTAGCACTCGCCATCCAACTCTGTCCTGGACACTATCTTTTTCGGCTCCTTCTAGTTGTTATTCTTCCCTTTCATATCTGCTTCTGTTACCCTGAGTAATGTGTTCTATGGCCTTCCTCTTTCCGGCTTCCCTTCAGGATTCCAAGTTAGGACTTGCCTCGTGATGCAGTTTGATTTCCGTAATGTATGTCTTATCCATTTTCATCGTCTTCCTAATTTCTTTTTCAGCTGGAAGCTGGTTGGTTCTCTACCACAGTAGGCTGTTGCTGATGGTATCCGGCCAGTGGATGTTGATTATCTTGCTTAGACAACCATTCATAAATACTTGTACCTTCTTGATGGTGGTTGTTGTAGTTCTCAAACTTTCAGCTCCGTAAAGTATCGAAGATTCTGACCTTGATATTGGTTGGAAGGTGTTTTGACTTCCAAATATTCTTCAATTGAAGGAATACGAACCTTGTTTTGCTAATCTCCGCCTTTACGTCTGCATCTGATCCTCCTTGTTCATCGATTATGCTTCCCAGATATGTGAAGGATTCTACATCTTCCAGAGTTTCGCCATCAAGAGTGATTGGATTGGTATTCTCCGCCTTGAATTTGAGGACCTTGGTTTTCCCCTTGTGTATGTTGAGGCCTACTGATACAGAGACTGCTGCTACACTGGCTGTCTTTATGTGCATTTGTTCGTGAGTATGCGACAGGAGGGCTAGGTCATCTGCGAAGTTCAAATCGTCTAATTGGTCCTGAGCTGTCTATTGTATGCCATGTTTCGACCACCAGAAGAAAGAGGAAGGGAGAGAGTAGACAGCCTTGCCTCACTCCGGTCCTTACTTGGAATGCATCTGTCAGCTATCCTCCATGCACGACCTTGCATTGTAGTCCGTCGTATGAGTTCCGGATAATGTTGACAATCTTCTCAAGACCTCCATAGTGTCGAAGAAGTTTCTATAGTGTTCTCCTATATACACTGTCAAACGCCTTTTCATAATCAATGAAGTTGATGTATAGTGACGAGTTCCACTCAACTGATGTTCGATGATGACCCATGGTGTCGCAATTTGGTCTGTGGACGACCAATCCTTACGGAATCCAGCCTGTTGATCTCGAAGTTGAGCATCTACTGCATTTTTTATCCAGTTCAGCAAAACTCTGTTAAAGACTTTCCCTGGTGCTGGCAATAGTGTGAAGTCTCTTTAGTTTTCACATTTGCTCAGATCTTCTTTCTTTGAAATGTTGATGAAGTGTCCTTTCCAGTCCATCAGCACTTGTTCCTCCCAGATCTTGAACAGAAGGTGAAGCGTGTTTGTAGTTACTTCTATGTCTGACTTCAGTGCTTCAGCTGGTATATTGTCTGGTCATGCTGCGTTCCCGCTCCTGATTTGCCTGATGGTTATCCTAACTTCGTCAGTAGGAATTTCTGTGTGTGCTGCATCGATGTCTAGTGGAATCACTGAAGCCAGCTTATTCAAGAGTTCCTCAAAGTGCTCTGCTCATCTGTTCCGCTGTTCATAAGTCGCAGTGATGGTCTTGGCTTCTTTATCCTTGATCGGTCTCCCTGGCTTAATATATTTCCTGATAGTTTCTTCGTTGTGTGATAAAGCTGTTTCATATTTCCTTCTCTTACAGCTTTTCCGCTGTCATTTTTAGGTCGTTCACGTATTTCTGCTAGTCAGCTGTCATACTCTTCTTCATTTGCTTGTTTGTTTGTGTGTACTCAGCTTGTGCTTCGTCTTTCTCTGTTCGTGTTCGGCTGTTGTTGATTGCTGTCTTGTTCTTTCTTTCTTTAGTTCTGTCAACAGTTTTGATAGAGATCCCTTTCGTTATGATGATGCTTGTTGTGCCTCAGAACCTCCTGTTATGTTGAAGTTAATGCTTCTTTGATACCTTTCCAGTTGTCCTACATCTTAGTTTCTTCTTTCACTAGATCTTACAAGGCTTGGAAGCTGTTGTTGAGAGTTATCTTGAATTCGTTGAGTTTGTCAGTATGTGGAAGGAAGGCTGTATTTAACCTTTGTACTGCTGTTTCAACAGTTGTCCAGTGCTTCTTTAGCCTCAGTTTCATTCTGGCAACCATCATGTGGTGATGATAAGCTATGTCAGCTTCTCTCCTGGTTCTCACATCTTCCATTGACCTTCGGAATTCTTTAGTGATTCAAATATGATCTATCCGGTTCTCTGTAGCATAGTCAGGATTGACCCGTGTAGCTTTGTGTATGCGTTTGTAGCAAAAGTAGTAATGCCTATAACCATTTAGTTGAATGCACATAAGCTTGCAAATATTTCTCCATTCTCGTTCCTTTCTCCCAGAGAGTCCATGTCGTTTCATGATATCTTCCTATCTGGTGTTGTCCATTCCGACTTCGGCATTTAGGTCTCCCATCAGGATGGTGAGATTCTTTCTTGGGCACTTCGCTATGATTGATTGCAATCTCTCATAGAACTGATCTTTGTTGTCGTCGTTGCTATCGTTGGTTGGTGCATAACATTGGATAACATTCATCGTGATTCCATTCTTTGTTTTGAAAAATGCTTTGATGTGCCTGGACCCGTGAGATTCCATCCTATAGGTGCATTTCGTGCTACTTTGGACAACATTAGAGCAACTCCCTGAGGGTGTAGTACATTTTCCTCTTCGTGACCGGAGTACAGCAGCATCTCTCCCGTATTTAACCTTTGTTGTCCAGCTTGGCTCCCGTGAGTTTCACTGATTCCGAGTACTGCCAAGTTGTATCTCCTCCTTTCCTTTGCTATTTGAATAGTCCTTCCGGTCTCCCACATTATCCGGACGTTCCATGTACCTATAGAACTTGTTACTCTGGTTTTTAGAAGGGGCATCGGTCTCGTGGCTTCTGAAGGAACCCGGCTTTCACCATGATGTGTCATAGTTCTTCTAAATGAAGACTTTTTAACTCCCAGGGCAGAGTTTAAATAGTTTAATTTGTTGATTCTGGTTAGCGTTTTTTTAGCGATTTAGTTTTCTACGGGATGGGGTCGCCAATCCCATGTCCAACCCTCCTCCTTTACCCGGGCTTGGGATTGGCATTAACTCTGGAAGAGCTACAGTCGGAGTTACATCAGTTGTACATAACAATATTTATTTATATAGAAAATATCAGGGTCATAACAAAATGGTTGTCATTATACTTATTTTACGTTTAATTGTTCATCATGAAGGTATAATAATCAGTGGATGATATTTGACGCTAAACAATGGCCAAGAAATAAAAGATCACTTATGATAGCTGAACAACTACCGTAAGTAATTCATATTCTTATACTTTACTAAAGGGTATATGTTAAAGCTTTGTATAAATGCTCTCTAGTAAACTCACTTGTAAACTGTCGTATAGAAATAGACAAAATAAGTACATTGAATCTCAAAACAGTTGATTCAATTTTTAATAGTATAACAACTAGAAACTACTCACCTCGGAATAGAAGTCAACAGTCTCTGTGCTTTAATATCACTATCGTAAGAAGTGTAGTGGCTGTATCCATAAATTAATGCTGTTGTTTACTCACAGAACCTAAGGATATTCGGCCTGAGGCAGATGGAACAAAACGTTAAGAATTATTGTATGCTATTTAAAGTAAAAGTGAATACTAAAGCTTCATTTAATTCAGTCTACAGACATTTGATCTATTGTTTCCAGATACTAAGTGTTACTGACTCAAGACACTTAAAGAATCCCACGCGATTAAGACTAACAACTAGCGATTTTAGATACATGACCCGTATCTGCAGGTTTGTAACCCTACAAGTTCTTTTCCTGAAACTTGGTATCTGAATTTAGTTATCCCCACTCGATAACTCCGGTGCATACAGAGAATTCTTCGAAGCAATTGATCATTAGGTGGTCGTAACTAGTTGTCTTATCAACTTTTTGCTATTGTATATCATAACCTTGTAATAGAACACATCGTACTCTCTTGGTGTACATCTAAATCAATGATAAGTATTAATAGATTGGTGATATAAGTTTTTAAATCCTGACCAAACACTGTCGATCTATTTCATGTTCAGTTCTGTAGCATAAATCAGTCTCGATTTAATTTTCGATTAATATATGTGTGTTTAATCTAAACGAATAAGTTTATTTTACTGTAAAATGAAACATAAACAAACTTATGACAGATGTTTGGAAAAAATTTTGTATTATGTTATAGTATAATAATATAAACCTATCGAACAAGTCAGTCTCTAAACAATACGCTAATAATTCTGCAAATAATGTTGAAATCAATAATAGTTACGATACCAGTTAAAACAGTGAATTTCTACTTACCACCTATTTTATCTTGAGACGATGGAATACGCAGCTCGAATGGATGTATTTGATATTGTTGCGCTCTCCAACTTAGGATAGCTTAATAGAGAACTTAAAAAAACACCGACACTATTTTCTATCTTTCAGAAGTGGTTAATACATTATGAATGTCGTTGTCAACAGCTAAGTTTTTTCACTTATTTGTACCGTTAGGATCCAACTGGTTATTAGGATTTTCGAAACAAACAATTACCTAGAAGTTTTAGACATTTCTGTATCTAGCGGCTTCTCGAGTTTTTTTTAAACTTTGAACAAAACTTGCAGTTTTCCAAAAAGGTAGCTAATTACGGACAAATGATTTTTCGAGCTAGATTATTAAGTTTTAGCGTAGACAAGCTGGATCAATCCTACCCTGGATTTCTAACTAGTCGTATCCTCTAGAACCCTAGTCAGAAAACCGATGTAGTTCACACTTAATATATTCTTAACTCCTTAATTGTTTTATGTCATGGCGATAAAAAATATTTTCAAATAATTGTATTAATTACTGGCATATCCACTGACCATATATTTTCTACTAGTAATTTCAGACTTTGGATGTAATAGTAAATGAATCGTATCTCTACTTTTATGTGATCATATTTAGCTTAGATTATAAACTGATGAAATCTAGCTATAAGATTCTTTCTAATGAATTTAATTAACATAAAATCTATAAGATATAACACACCGCTAGTTAATTAAGTTATTTGCAAGTTTACATTGGATATTGCCATGTAAATGACACTAATCATATATACTGTATAAATTTATTTTTGTGTAGAGGAATAGTGTCTAGTCTTGATGTAACAAATATACTGAAAATTCAAGGTTATTGGGCCAGTTATAATCTACCGTAAGTTTTTATTCAATATTATTAACAATTTAGCATTAGGTATTTTCTAATATTCATTAAAACGAAAAGACCACTTGTCGATTTATTATAACAGTTAAAAAAACTCTGTGACTATATTTGTGTTTTCCAAATACAACAAAATATTATCAGTGGAGAATGGAATCATTCTTTTAGGAATTAGTTATCTGAATCTAGTGGTATTTCCGTGAGTATTCCTTTCTTTAATAAAACTTTAATATAGTATTTGTCAACTTAAAAAATAATAAAAGTTTGCCATTTTACGTCGTCGAGGAATACAAGAAAATAAAACCACTTTATTTTTTACATAAAATCTCGTACTAGAACAATTTACAATAAACGTTTCTGTAAACCTGAATGAATATGGAAATTCGGAAATTAAATGTGTTTTCAGGATACCAAATATGCTTTTGTTGAGACCAGAAGTAACGAGGTGGTTATCTTTCAAGAACAAATCCTCAATAATTTTGTGAAGCTTTTTATATTTCCACACAGCAAATACTTCATAGTAGGCTACCACAAAAGGTATGACATAAAAAGAAGTGAATGTGTAGCAGAGGTACTTCTTTATGGCCATGCAACTTTATTTCTACCAGTCGGAAAATCCTAATTCGTAAACAGAATCTTATTAAGTAAATAGATTTTTCGAGAATTGTTTAGCGCCATGTCATGCTTCGCTTCTTTTAAACTACGTATTTCACGTTTAACTTCCCATTGCAGTCGATATTATTTCCTCTCTTCTGCTTCCCACTTCATTAATTTCACATCTTGATGTTCTCTTTCGACTTGTGGCTACTTGAATCGTACCAGATCGTTTGTCATTTATAACGAACAAATTGAAGAGTTTGTAAGCTTCTTCGGAACTTCAACATCAACAATAGATTCGTTTGTAAATCTTTAACAATATATAGTCGTTCATATGATGTAGGATAAACAGATTAAATATAAACCACTATTTAATAGTAAAGTTTCTTCTCCAGAATCACAAAGTTAACGAAAAATCCTTATGCTTGGATTAGTACCCATTGATTCAAAGTTGTGTGACACCATTATATGAAGCTAGATCATACACTGAAGCAGTGAATAGAACCTATATTTATTTTTAGTGTGATAATATCTGGTGGAATGTTTACGCATGTTAAAAATTGTTATGACTTTGCTCGTCATCGTTTGTCAACTATCAAACTCCAATCGACTTTACTAAATCTTTAGTATCTCATCGTCATATCCAGTTTTTAATATACAATTATTGCTTATAGATTTATAACTTAGGCGATTTTAATTTAATTCTAAGCTCTTATTCCAACTTCGTTTGTTGTCCAGGTTTATTGATGATATCTACATACTTAGTGGAACAAAGAATATGGCCAAAATGTATGGAGACTGGTATGTACATAATATGACATCGAGGGCCAAAATTTTCCGACGTGATCATCACAAAGTTGTTGATTTTCCAAGTATGATGTCGCTTATGAGGCAAGTCTAACTGTAACTTTTGTTATATTCCTATGATATTTCACCAACAATTGATAGTTTAACAACACTAAGGACACTATGATAAATTTCAGATTTATGATTTAACTAGATTTGGTAATTTTATGCAGAACATCATAACACACTACTAACTTAAATGCAATTAAATAGTAACTTTAGAGTTTGTGCTTTTACATGCTGGTTATAAGATGAGAGTATGTAATCGAATTCAGTTTAACTAACTTGATATTACATAAGACATCTTTTGTGGTGATTCTATATTGCATAACTGCGTGATTATTCAACTTAATTCCCAATCACAGCACGAATTATTTCTAAGATGTAGTTTCTTAATAATCCTAGTAAAGTAATCCACTTTTTTATTTTTATATATTTTGCAAGAGCGAATTCAATGTGTTTGGTGCTTAGACATTTATATTCATGTGAATCGATTATTTGCCGACCCCACGCTTTATTGAATGCTTTGAAAATGTCAGTCAATCCATTTAGGATACATTGTGCAGTATTTTGTCCAAATATATGTACATTACCATAAAAAAGTAGTATTTGACCACAGATGCCTTAGAAATATTGCTCGTATCTTCTGGGAACACTGAGTAAGTTAATAATGAGGTTAGACGCAGGGTATTATGGAATGATGGTAAATCAGTTGATGAGGATGTGAATCTTCATCGACTGATATGGTTGGGCCACGTGGTACGTATGCCTGAACACCGATTACCACGACATGCAATGCTAACCGGTGTTCCGGATGGTTGGAAGAAAGTTAGGGGCATCCAAACCAAAACGTGACGTCAGTGCTTGAAGACATTAACTTCTAGTCTGAGCCATGTTGTTAGATGCATACTACTTGGTTGGGGTCTATTGTAACCAATGGTTGGAGACTCTTGGTGACACGGCTCAGAATCGATCATAATGACGTAGGTGTATATACTCTCTGTCTTCCCTTAAACTAAGAGATTAAAATCACTTCATCTCTTTCTTTCTACGAACTAATTCTTTCATCCTGTACTATGTTCTTACATACAATCTTTCTTCTATATATTACCACCATTGACTTAACCACTTCTATGAATCCGGTGTTCATCTTGCTGTGCTAATGCGGTATGGCAACTTGGGTCGATGTATATATGTGTCTGGTCCTACTTTGTAGCTGATTAACTGACATCCCCGAAAAAACCAGTCGTTAGTGTTATCTATCATAAGGTTTTAAAATTCGAATTTTCAAGTGTCATTTCGTTAGAGGACATATTTTTACTTTCAGATATAATGACTTCATAAATGATCCATTATCTGCCTGTCCGTGTAAACCTCCGTACACAAGTAACAAAGCTATATCAGCACGAGATGAGCTGAATGATCCGAAAGGACAGTATCCAATTCGTTCGTGGTCCTACCGCCTACATGGAGGAACAGACGCTAAAGTTGTTGACTTATTGATGATGAATCAAGTAAGTTGAACAGATATTAAGAAATCGAAAGAGAAGCAGGACTTGATATTCTAGAATCCTTAATAATGGTGGTCCAGTCTTAGAAGATAGGTGGACTGATATATTAACCAGAGTATAAGAACTGGATAAAATCCCATTTCGCTGATCTGGATCACTGATCAATCTAAGGTTTGATTTAATAATTTCGAATAAATTAAACATTGGATAATTATTATAAATAAATAATATATTTGTAATATCGCAATAAGTAGAAAAATTGGATTTTCTGACGTTTCGTGACTTCGTGTAAGCCACTTCTTCAGAGAATAAATAACCAAATTAAAATTAATCCAAGTTTAAATAGTGCAACGGAACAACACGAATATTATGTGATCAATCGAAAAACAGGTCTGAATAAATCAATGTCATGTCATTACGGTCAATGTGATTCATAAGCGACTTGTATGTAAATTTGTGTGTATGTATGTGTGCACTGTTAAGGATGAAAATTGTGTGACCTTTATGGTGAGAAAGAATAGTGTTTAATTTGTAAGATAATAGTGTGAATTGTAAATAATATCAGACTAGGTGGCTAGGATAGATAGTTCAAGTAGGATGTATGGTAAGGCTTTTTTTCTATTGAGAGAAGTAGGATTAAGCATTATATGGAACGCTTCAGCTAATCTGCTTTCTTCGTAATTGGGAAAACATTTTTGCCGATGTAATTCGAAGTCTATCTACTTCTACGTGATTATTATGTGGTTTCTTTGTGTACCTAATATGTTCTTTGGCACGAGTCAAGATATCGCGTGATGACTCTCCAATATAGAAGGTATCACAATCGACACAACCTAATTTGTAGACGCAGTTCTGTGTTAACATGAAAGGGACTTTTTTCTTTTAAGCGAACTAAAGTATTTTGAAGTGTGTTTGTTGTTTTGTAATCTACTTTAATTCTGTTGTGTTAAGATTCTTTGGAATTCTTCTGTTGTGCCATGACGGTATGGTAAAACTGCAGTACCAATCCACGGCATTTCATTCGAATTATTATTACGCACTGAAACCTCTTGTTTTAATATACTTCCAATAATCTTCATGGGAAAATTATTAAATTGTAAGATGCTAATTACATTCGTTTGTCCTCTTCTGATGTGATGAACTTGTTGGCTCTTCTAAAAATCCAATTGCTACAACCACAGAATATGTAATAAACGTTGTTTACAAGAAAACATTATTCCGAAATCTGTTTTTGTAAAACCTCCAGAATTATCCTGGAGATCTATCCAGACTTCGCAACGCTCGTCTCGAGTATTTTTGCGATAACGTGTTCACAAGTGCACATATTTACTTGAAAAATATCGTGAACGAATCAAAAACCTAGATGGTCTACTTAAGCTTCAATTCCTACAAAAATTACAGACTACGATATCTAACCTGTTTATAGAAAGAGAACGCCATTATTTAGATTCATCAAAACGCCAGCAAATAAAAGAAATGGAAAAGATCAAGGAATGAAAGAAAGATAAGAAAACGTCAGCAATAAAATCTAATTCGAATGATCTAAGAATTGTTCATAATCTCTCAGACAGAAACTTAACCAATCATGAAATCACTCTACTAGAGAAAGGATTAAATTTCAATTTACATAGAAAACCACTTAATACTCTTGCAGTTGCTCCAATTATAGAACCAATAATCACACAACTACCAGAAAAAGATCCACATATAATACGTCAAAAGACATCCCATATTTTGACTAAACAAAAAAAAGTTACACCAAACATTTCAACAGAAGAATTTGAGGCTCTGCATTCACTTAAAAAGAAAAAAACTATTATAATCACAAAAGGCGACAGAGGCAACACAACAGTGGTCATGAATAAAACGAACGAAACAGCCGTCCAGTACTTCCAGGTTTTCCATGGTGGTCTAGCTTCAATTGACTCATGATTTCAACCAGTGAAATTTCTAGAATCTCCACAAAACCCCTTCTGATAAAAAACAGATTATATTAATAAAGCTCTTGAACATCTCTCAACAGGACCATATGAAAAGATCAATCCAAAAAATTCTCTAATGTTTAATGATAAAGTCAAATCCGATACAAGTCAAATTTTGAAAGAACTAAAACCAGTCATTGGTGTCCAGCTTCCCGCTACGTCTCAATAGAAAAAAAGCCTTACCATACATCCTACTTGAACTATCTATCCTAGCCACCTAGTCTGATATTATTTACAATTCACACTATTATCTTACAAATTAAACACTATTCTTTCTCACCATAAAGGTCACACAATTTTCATCCTTAACAGTGCACACATACATACACACAAATTTACATACAAGTCGCTTATGAATCACATTGACCGTAATGACATGACATTGATTTATTCAGACCTGTTTTTCGATTGATCACATAATATTCGTGTTGTTCCGTTGCACTATTTAAACTTGGATTAATTTTAATTTGGTTATTTATTCTCTGAAGAAGTGGCTTACACGAAGTCACGAAACGTCAGAAAATCCAATTTTTCTACTTATTGCGATATTACAAATATATTATTTATTTATACTGACTAATCTAGTGTATAAGAGTACATTTATAAACGTGTTCTGATAACCAAAAACAATCAGTTTTATTGACAGTCTAAAATATTAGCCTCTATAACCATACGGTGCTAATCTGGTTTGCGTGCGTAATAATATCTGGAAAACAATCCTGGTTTCATACCTGGACGTGGGTACGTGAATCCGATATTCATCCTTCATCTAATTCTACGACAGAAGTACTCAAAGACATTCAACGATGGTAGTATTTCTTAACATTAAGACAGTATCCAAATCTGTTGAAATGAGTGTTAAGGCAATACATATATCTCCTGAAGGTTCTCCAGTTGAACACTGATGGTAGAGTCAGAACTCATGGGGAAATATTCGCAGAATTGTAAGCCTCCAGTAACATTCGTCAGAGGTTTCTACTATAACCTCTATATTACTATATGGTAGCGAAATTGTCTTTGAAAGTAGGAATTTGTAGGCTACAGGCTTTCTATCATAGGTACATTCGAAGAATCGCTCGCGTTTCTTGAAATGACTGAGTGGCCACTCTTGAATTTAGGTTTACGGTACTTGGGAAAAGTATCAAATCGTTTGATGGGTTAGTCAATTTTCATCGACTGAGGTGGTTAGGACATGCTTTAAGTATGTTCAATTATCGCCTACCTCGATGAACGATGCTTGTCAGTGCATGAGTAGGTTAGAAGAAAGCTGTAGACAGCCAAAGTAAAACGTAAGATATGTCCATGAATTCATTAAATGTGAGTTTAAGCCATTTGTGTAGGTATGGACTACTGGGTTGGGCTCCGCATGATATTAAGTAAACCCAACCATTGTCTACCTCGACGAGTACTGTTAGCTGATATAGAAGTAGGCTGAAGCAAAGCCGAGGGTAGTAAAACCAAGGCGCAGGATCTGTCCATCAAGTCTTTGAGTGTTGGTTTAAGTTATGTAGGTACATACAGATTACCTGGTTGATGCTCACGTGATAAGCACGACCAGTGGTTCGAAATAGTGTGTGAAATGACTCAGAATCGGTCATAATGGTACAGATTCATTCAATCTTCATCTTCCTTTAGGTCTGCAATCCCACTATTGTATCAGATATACTTTTTCACTCATTATTCTCAAATCATGTTCTTAATGTTTAGTTTTTTCTAGTTTTCACAACTACTAGATTGTTTTAACTGCTTAGTTATTCATCTTGTTAATTTCGTCCTTACATGCTGTGGTAAGTCAATATGGGCTATTGCACATTTGTCCCAGACTCTATGATAATTATGGTTAACTTCGAAATGAAGATATGCAGTTCAGGTAGATGCTCTTGGTATTGTGCAGTTCTCTGAACTAGGTTGCCAAATTATACTGATCAAATACTGAACTACAATGGTAACAAACCAACAGCACATAAAAAGTTCTGCATAGACATTCAAATGAGGCAAAACGCACAGCAGAATTTTAACCACACGGAAAGTTGAAACAAATCATCTATCTGTTTTTCATAAAATTAGACAATCAACCCATCATCGTAAAATCAATTCCAGAAACGGGTGGTGCTGATATATATGTGAACCCTCAGAAATCACCACGAGGGTTGTAGAACATTTTGGAATGAATATGGTTCAGAAACTAACGTAATCACTCCACTTCATTTTATCAAGACCTATAGGAAAAACAGCCGAAGAAAATAAATCCAATACCAACTGCAACAAACAATACATTAGAAGAGGTTGACAACCTCCGGATACACAAACTCAGAGACACAATATCTTATCACTGGTATAAATGCATGCAGACAATGGACATAAATTTGACAGGGAAAACGTCGAAATTCCGGATCTGGTGAATTCAAAGAATGCCAGGAAATTTCAGGATGCATGGGATTCAGATCAATCAGCAACTAATATACATATTGAATTAGACCTGACCTATTATTCATTTGAAGAAGATCAATCAATAACCTGATCAGAGGTGAATGAAACAAAACAGCTAACTTAAGTACAAGAACAAACTAATACAGTAAAACCAACGAAGACAATTATAAACAAGAGTAACGGAGTACCCAAAAAGCCCATTTCTACATGAAGTAATCCCTGATAATGTTTAGAATCATCTAGTCCAGACAACTCAACAACACTAATGATTGAGTTTATTTTGAGCAAGTTACTAATGAATGGTGATTATTTTGTCTCTTGAATCTGAGCACTTATACTGACATTCATTCGTTCGAACTCCTCCTCTCGAATTTATTCATTTTAAAACTCGTCCATATAGTTCTGTAGGATTTGTTATAATTTTTCTGTGATAGTTGGCAAGTACTTCAGAGGCCTTTGTTCAAAACAAAAGCATCTTATTAATTTCCGTTAATATTAGTAATAGCCATATTTAATGACAACACTGTCTTTATATTTCTAGCTCAACATGATTGCAATCAGTGGACCGACCTACGACAACTTGCCTCCATTTCGCTGGTCACTAATTAAAGATGTGAAGAAACCTTTGATGCACCCAGATAAGTGGCAGTTCCCACCTGTGATCACCAAATTTATCGATTACCTATCTACAAATGGCAATATTTCTGCTGGATTCCTTTCCGTAGAATCATTGTTTTAGTCCCCTTTAATAAAGTAGATTTCATTAACCATATGGATATAACTTACTGTAGATTGCTCTATAATCTGAAGTTTTGTTAGACATTATTGCTCTAATCTGGTATTGTTTGCAAAGATCTTTCGAACTGCTTATTTCGTTTGTTACACAAATTTTGGTAGTACAGGCCACCAAAAGCAGTACTTGCCAGACAAATGAAGTGATAATATTGTGAAAGAATCGATGGAAAAATAGTTCAATCAATAAATGAATAATGATAGTATTTGATAACTGAGACAGGCTAGTTGGAACACGGTTAAAAGGGGCTCCTTTAAGTTAGAGAAGCTTATCTCAGTCTTATACATACTGTGATAGAAAAAATCTATAGCTGATTCACCACCGACCTCCATTCTGAGTCAAAATATCGAGTCATAGTTGCATCATCTCTAAGACTCCCACCGAGAAGTCATGGTAGACCAATAAAAGCCAATCTTCAGTACCATTGTGTCATGTTGTTAGCTCAAGGCTGAAGAGAAATAGTCAGATTGATCAACCCTACCCAACACTACTATTGAATTGAACAGTGCCTGTATACCATCACTTTCAGATGTTGTTTTGCAGCAACTATGACAGTGTTCTAGCATTTGAAGGAGAGTGAAAAGGTGATCAATACTGAACAAAAACTAGCCTTCTCTTTACTAGTCACTCTTCAACGGGTTTCGCATAATTGTAGTATAACAGAAGTTGAAAAATTGGGAGTTATCAAAATATTTGTAGCCCAATACTTGTTCAATAGATTGCGCGCATGGCCTTTTCAAAGGTGAGAACGACGAACGCTACATCACAAGATGGTGGGATGAGCAGTCAGAAATCCGTCAATCTTAAACAGGTGTAACAACTAAGTCATCCGGAGCTAGTGACTTGTGGCGCTTCAAAGTTAGAGCTCACTACGGACCTCCGCCACCCTGAATGGGACAGTAGTTAAGGTTAACAGGACAGTCTGGTTCGTAAGAGCTTGAACTAACAGGAAGCAGTTTGAAGACCAGAAGGCAGTAACCCGCCAACACGACCATAGCTTCTGCCTTGACGTAGCGGTCAGCTTTGCCTTTCGTGACTATTCAACCGAGCTATATTGGCGTGAATACATGTACCCTTAAGTCCTACCGTGCCAGGTAGGTCACTTAGAAGACTGTAACCCTTAAAGCAGCAACTTAAGCTCTGAGGATGAAGTACTGCTGAATATGGAGGGGTGTGACAGCAACAAGATGTTCCCCTCGGACTGACACACCTGCAACGCCGCTACGTCCTCACAACAGAAGGCGCTACGAAATTTCGCAAATCCTGCCTCATAGATTTCTGCCTTCGGTAGTAAGGCCTTATGGAGTGTGGAGCTAACACATCAAAAGCTTCCCATAAAAAGGTCGAGCATGACGGGCCTCAACCAGTTGTCACCTCGACTCTGTGGTCACACTCCCACATCACTAAGACCACCACCAAATCAGCTTAGTTTTCAGGTCTCTCTAGAAGGAATATCCCCCCACGGTGTGGACAGCCGGGAAGTAATAAGCGCCCTTATACCTCTACCAACACCTGAGGTCACCTTGTTCACGACAACCCCCCTCAACTCTTGATAATTATCCCACCTCCACGAACAATACTTTTCGCATATCATCACGCGCCAGCAATGCTAATGATTTGCGCTTGAGAACTATTATTTCTGGTTTCCTGAAACTACTACCTAAACTACATATTATAGCTTTTAATGTTCGAAATTTTTGTCGAATAGAGCAACAGACTTTCCTAACTAGGAATCTAGAATCTCACACCATCGATGTCTGCTGTGCCTCGCGAACGCACATTACTCAGTCAGCTAGAACGGTCCAAGTTACCATACCTCATTAGTACAACAAGATGAACACCGGATTCATAGAAGTAGTTAGTTCAGTGGTGGTAATATATAAAAGAAAGATTGCATATAAGGACATAGTACAGGAAGAAAGAATTAGTTCGTAGAAATAGAGATATAAAGCGATTTTAATCTCATAGTTTAAGAGAGGAGAGAGTGTATACAACGACGCCATATCACCCAGAGTCTCCAACCATTGGTTACAATAGTCATGCGGACCCCAACCAAGTAGTCTGCATCTACCAACATGGCTCAGACTAGAAGTTAGTAGCTTCAATGTCTGATGCCACGTTTCAGTTTAGCCGCCCTTAACTTTCTTCCAACCGTATCCAGCACTAGTCAGCATTGCGCATCGTGGTAATCGGTGTCCAGGCATACGTAACACGTGGCCCAACCATCTCAGTCGATGAAGATTCATAACCACATCAATTGATTTACCATCATTCCCTAATACCCTACGTCTAACCTCACTATTACTTACCCGGTTATCCCAGCAGATACGAGCAATACTTCTAAGGCATCTATGGTCGGATACTAGCGGCTTACGAGTATCTTCTACTCTTAATGGCCACGTTTCGTAGCCGTATGGTAGAACAGAATGAACTGCTGCGCAGTATATTCGTCCCTTGATTGGTAGACGGATATCTCACCTTCGTCACAGGTGACGTATGTTGGCAAAATCCAAACGAGTTTTCTGAGTTCGATCAGAGATGTCGTCAGACATCAACCCATTAGGGCTGATCAGACTTCCAAGATAAGTAAAGTTGTCAACGCGTTCGACTACTTTACTCCCTATCCTTAGTTCAGGTGTTGAGGTAGACTAGTCCTGAAGCAACGACCTGCATTTAGAGGGAGAGAAGCGCATCCCAAACATTCTGGCATTGTTGCCCAGCGCTACCCAAAGACTGCATTTTATCAGCGTCTTCACTACACTGGGCTTTGTCATGTGTTTTCTAATACGACCTGCTGATGGGAGATCAATTCCCGAATATTCGTTCTAAACGTCTGGACTGGAAGCAGATGAGTGTCGTCTTTTTCTGAGATAGTTTCACTTGCACTTATTAATTCCAGTCTGAAGAGCGGTCTTGTGTAACCTACGGCCGTCGTCTTTACTATCTCTTTTGCTTTCATTGCCAACCAGTGCTCAAGGTTTAGCTTTCTGGAGAATTTCAGAAAGCTTTCTGTAAAAGCCATCTCTCACTTCGTACGGGATGTACTCAGCGGGAGCGTAGGCAAAAACGACTAAAATACAACGAAGTGTGTCTCCATCCTTACGAAGAACATAGGCGACTATTAACGGGGACCCACTCTAATAGTGCTTGTTCTGCCCTCGTACTTAGTGTTATACCTACATCTGTTAGTCCACGAGAACTAGCCGTCGGGTCGCCAGATACACGGAGGGCGTTTCTCGTCGTTTTGGCGAGGTGAGGTCAAGTGAATGGCCACACTAGGATCTTGATTATATGTTTCGCAGACACAGCATACATCAATGGTTCGAGATTCTAAGGTTTTAGTCAAGGAGGCCTGCTGACCGATTTGACACAAGATGATTACGTTGAAAGCTCTAATGTGTAGTTCAGAGCGAGGTCTCAGTAGACCTGAGAGGAAGTTAAGATTTGAAAGCCGACATATGAGGAGTACTAAAAACTGTAGAGGGAGATTGATTATGAACACAGTGATCTTGAGTGGTACGACTACCAGGACGGTTATCACTTCCCGGCTGCCCACACCGTGGAAAGGTTCTTCTGGAGGTACCTGAAAAGAAAATTGGATTAGAGGTGGTCTTAGTGACCTGGGAGCGTGACCGCAGTGCCCAAGGGACAACTGCTTGAGGTCAGTCACACACGACCTTTTTATGGGTAATTTTTGTGTTATCTCCGTACTTGTTGAGACCCTACCGGCGGAGACGGATGTCCGTGGGATAAAACGAGGTGTGTTTTTAAGGTTGACCTCTTCCGACCCCACCCCTCCTTGTGGGAGGTCAACATCATTGTTATGCTGGTTGTCTGAAGGAAACATCTTGCTGCTGTCACACCTCTGTGCAGTCAGCAGTACGATTTCGCCTTCGAGTTTGTTGCTTTTAGTCTTACCGCTCCTCCGCAGGACCTTGAGGGACGCTTTTTCACCCAGTATAGCTCGTTTGCTTCATCACAATAGGCAAGCCAGACCACCACCTCAGGGTAGCAACATTGGTCGGGCCCAAAAGCACACGTAGGATCCACGTACTGACATTCATATGACCTCACCACGGCAATATAAATAACCAACACGAACTACACTTCTAGTGTCTGGAAACCCCACTGCTACTTACCTTGACCTCGCTGGTGTACGTATAGCATTAAGTTCAAAAGCAGAACAGGGTTCGTTAGGCTGAATTACAATAGAAAGCTAGCTTCAATTGACTCATGATCTCAACTGTTTAAATTTATTTGATTTGTTGATGGCCGTCATAGAACCACATAAATTCTTACCGTGATTTGGAATGTCGATTATCACAAAAATACAAATCACCATACTGAAAATTCTAATGGTAGAGAATCGTGCATTAAGAATCGTCTGATCCGCTATCTTCACAATCGCTGCTCATGTAAGTGATTTTCGAGTACCTGTCTCCAATCAAGTTGTCGAAATAAATGCAGAATTATTACGTAACATAGTTAAGGCAGCGATCTAGACACTGGCTTCGAACAAAGGACTTGTTTTGTCATAAAACGTAAACAAAATGCCAACTTATTGAGATTGTAAAAACGTAGTTATATATCCGCTTAAAGCTACGAGCAGATGAAGTGGGACCCACATCACTGGTGGTTGTCATAGAAAATTTTACATCTTCAAGTGAAATCTAGCACATGTCTAAGCTGAATGTGAAGGATGCATATAAAACCCACTTTCTGCCACTTAATGTTTGTATACGAAATATTTCGAACGAGGTCGAAATTTTGGTAAGAATAGATCGTCAACGCCACTGGTTGCGATGTTCTTAATATTTCAGCTACGAGCCTGCACAAGTGTATTTCAAATTGCTGAAGCTATTTCTCAGTAGAGCGAGGGCTTAGCGCACTACCCTATTACATGAAATCCAACACCACGGGTCATGATTTAAAAAGACTAACAATAGCGACATGACAATCTATTTTGAACACAAACTGAAAATGGTTCCAACCAGAATGGGACTAAAGTGAAACTACCAAATCGAGTTTTTAAGTACTCGTGAATTAAGCTAATGGTATAATCCGTACTGGCGACTGCATTCTTTTAGAGCTTCAGAGAAGCCACTGCAAGCACTTATATCACTTTGAGACTGAGCGCATCGAATAAGTTCATCGACATGGTATTGACATGGAGATTGAGATTGATCCGAAGTTGAAGATATCTGGGCAGGCTGAGCAGGATTGCCACCCAATCCACCTGACAATGCTCCCGTAACAGCGTGACCAACAACTGAACCAATAGCTACACCCCCGGCTGTAGCTGCCATCTGTCCCATTAAACCTGGCTGTCGCGGTTGTGCTGGAGGCTGTGCAACAGCAGATGGAGGTGCACGAGCCGGCAAGTTTGCACTTGGACGAGACGAAACTCTTGAAGGACTAGATCCTCTATAAAATTTAAAGACATCGTGTAACAGACAATTGATAAGGTCACCTTCGAGGCATTGTGTTAAGCTTTTTGAAGAACACGCTGCTAGTTTTCCTGCGACAAGGCCACTAGTAAATAAAACA